ATCTTTAAATGCTGTTTTCTCAAAACATTGATTTTGTGTTTTCGATGTACCTTTTGGGAGAATTGGTGATATCCAGGTAAATGAAATTTTTACCATAAGTTTATTTTGTCTATCAGATTATACTGAAATGAGCTTTTATTGAAATATTAAATAGTTTTTATAGGTAAAAATTGTAAAATTTTGACTATTATGCACATAAATTAGTAGAAAACAAAAACCGAAATAGAAATCCAAAAAAGCTCATTTCAGTATAATCTACAATGTTCAAATATATTGTAGAAAAAATTTCATGCAATTCTATGCAGTAGTTTGCCATAAAAAGTACATCAAAAAAAGGGCAACTTAACATTGCGGACATAGGAGGTACCAATTTCCCTTAATAGCTGAGATGAAAAAGGCCAATCGCATCACGGAAGAGAAGAACAGAATTGAGGGGAGAAACGTCATAGCTTTTGAGAACATTTGTAAAGTGCAAAGCAAATAAAATTTTTTAGCTAATTTTTGCTTGTTATCAGTACCGTCTTCACGTATGGGCACAACTGGGCAGTGCTTTTTCATTTCATTTCAAGTGTTCTTTTTCATTTTAAGTATAAAATTGTAAAACAGTTTTTTTGTATTTTAGGTTCATTTTGATGATGACCAGTGGGAGCTAGAAACAAAAAATGGCAAAAAAGAGCTAAAAAGGAATGCTGTTTCGACACTTTATAGCCAATCTTCTCTGTGTGTTAAAAGGAAGCTTCCTATTATAAGACATCCCCCTAAAATTTTTCCAGAAACTGTTGTTTCATCAAATGACTCTATAAATGAGCTACATAAGTCTCAATCCGAAAACAAAAAATTGAAGGATGTAAATTTACTCCTAAAAGCAAGACCAAAAAAAATCCTTAAAGCCATTTAAACTAAAAAGGAAACTGAAGCAGAACTTCCAGCCCCTTGAAAAAGTTTTTAATGCAGACCAGATAGAAGCTCTCGGTCTGTCAAAATGGTCTAATGCAACCAATAAAACCGCATTGGGCCTAAATTTTCTTCTGGAGCTAATGGCTACAATGCTTTGTTGGCCAATAATCTTCCTTATACATTTAAACATACGCTGCAAAGGAGGATTGAAAATATAAAGTTTCCTTCTGGAATTTTGCAAGATGTACTGTAGTTCTTGGATAACTTGAAACTTGATTAACAAAAAACTTGATTAGACACAACAATTTTTTCACAGATCACTAGCAACCCTCAGGAACAGGCTTTGCTTTTGCCAGCAACTTAATGGAAAAAAAATTCAAACTTGACGACAACTCCATCTTCCAGGCTGAACTTTTAGCTATCTATGAATGTCTAAAATTCATTAAAGCTTCTAATCTGCAAACACAAAAAACAAAAATTTGGTCAGACAGCAAAACCGCTCTCCAATCGATCCTAAAACCCAATAACAGAAATCTCACAATAAAGAACATTTGTACACTCCTCCATACTTCAAACACGAAAATTAAATGGACTAAAGCTCATGATGATTATAGAGGTAACGAATTGGCGGACAAACTTGCAAAAGAAGCGGCAAACTCGAAAGAAAAATTTATCCTCATCCATTTCCAAAGACATTCCTAAAATCAGAACTAACGAAAATAATCAACAAAAAATGGCAAGAATATTGGAACAATTCAAATACTGGAAGAAGATTATTCAACCTTTATAAAGACATTCATTCCCTAAAGAAAAAAAATTTAACGAAACAGGAAATATGGTTCCTGACAGGTCATGGACCATTTCCAAAATACTTCTACTACCTAAAAATAACAAAAACAGATAACTGCACATGTGGTAAAACAGGAGACCCCGACCACTATCTTCTAGAATGCCCCCTTACCATTTCTTGGCACGCGTCAAAACCCTACTCGAATTTCATCAAAGAATGGAGAATTTCATTCATTACCAACAAAATCTTAAACAAAAAGCTTCATGGTGTCATGAACTTTCTAGCAGAGAATGATCACCTCATAAAATTCTGAAAAAAAAAGAGAAAAAAAAAATTTTCTTTTTCTATAAATTATCAACAATTAACTTAAACTACAAGTGGCCTTGTTTCTAGATGTGTTTATTTTCTATCCATTCATTGTAAAAGAAAATCAACGAAATTGTAAAAAAAAAAAATATGTTTTGCACTATCAAACCAAACTTTTCACTATATCACATTATTACAAAATTGTTTACGTATATGTTTTAAATACGTCTATGTAAAAATTGTTATTACTTTTGTTCTTCAATAAGTTTTTCTTTTCTCGCTGGTTGTTCTACGCCCACCTGGGCTGTGGCTAGCTAGATCAGTAAACAGGGGGGGGNCTTAAACTACAAGTGGCCTTGTTTCTAAATGTGTTTATTTTCTATCCACTCATTGTAAAAGAAAATCAACGAAATTTTAAAAAAAAATAAATGTTTTGCACTATCAAACCAAACTTTTCACTATATCACATTGTTTACGTATTGTTTGCGTATATGTTTTAAATACGTCTATGTAAAAATTGTCATTACTTTTGTTCTTCAATAAATTTTTCTTTTCTCGCTGGTTGTTCTACGCCCACCTGGGCTGTGGCTAGCTAGATCAGTAAACTGGGGGGGCCATACATGGGTAAAGGGATCTTAAANTTTATGGGTTAGGGAATTATTTTAATTCTAAGGTACCAGGCCTCTTCTGGAGGATTAAAGTTCTTGGAGGTAAAAGTAAAAAACTTTGAATATAGCCAAGAAAAGAAAAGCAATATACTTATTGAAGAGATGGCTATAACTCCTAGCATTGAGTATGACCCTTTTCGGGAACATACTTTGGGGATGTAACATCTCCTCACAAAAAGGAAACGCCAGAAATGCTTTGGTTTTTATGCTAGGAGGCATAACCACACACTGGAAGCGAGTAATTGTTCATCTTAGCAATGGTAAAAGGCTTGGAACTGAATTTAAAAACATAATCATACAAATTATCCAAGAATGCCATAAGATAGGTATCTTTGTTAGCGTTACAATGAATATGGGGCCATCAAATAGAGCCACCTGGAAAGACTTGGGCATTAAGTGTTGCCGAAACGCTGTGGATAAATCATCTATACCCCATCCTTGTGATTCAACAAAAATGTCCACTTTTATAGGTGATGTGCCTCTCCTCATAAAAAACATCAACGTGTGCCTTCCAGGAAATAAGTATTTCCTTCTACCTCAATATTTTTTAGATAAGTATGATTAGTTCTCTTCTAAGGTTCAATCAAAGCATTTGGGTAAAAGTCTTTACCACCAAGAAAATGATGAGTTGAAATTAGAGATAAAATTTACTTTAGGGCACTTAGAAAACAATCATTTTCAGAAAATGAAAGTTTCAAATGCAACAGCTGTTATTTCACACGAAATAAGCTGTGCGTTGAAATTTAGAGCTGAGGAAGAAAAAGTCGAAACTTTAAAAACTACTGCATGGTTTCTGCAACATGTACATAGATGGTTTACTTCACTGACATCCCGTTATTGCCATTAGTAACTTTAATAAACAATCATATTTTGAAACAATAACTTTTTGAGCCGAGACCATAAATTTATTCGAAACCTAAAAAAAATTTGGAAACCCATACAGACTGGTTGATTGATTGTATGTAAGGTTTAATGGCACAAACTCCAAATAAGGACAGGCTGCGCCAAACAACACGGTATAACAGTTTAAAAGCTAAAGTCAAAATGCATACAACACTTTCATTGTATAATTTTCATTGATAAAATAGTACAAGTTTATGAAATCAGATAAAAGGTATGACTACAATATTAAATACAATGAGTAAAATGATACGAAGGAGGTACGATGTTTGCAAACTGAATAAAATTGTATGCTTAAAACATTCAAATATTATTAAAAATACTAACAGCACGTATAAATGCTAAGGTGATGAATGTCTTTCAATAGTGATCAACAGATGAATAACAAACATAAAATTGGATGATTATTACTGTTAAAATTATCTAACTGGTTCAAAACACTCTATCGGAGTAAATACAATATCTCCATGTAGAGAGTAAAGAAATCAGTCTTATTGCCAGAAGGATGGCAACAGCTTCAGCTGTAAAGACGGACCAAATATCTGGGATTTTATAAATATAGGTGTCACTAGCGATGACGACACCACAGCCAATATATCCAGCAAATTTTGAGCCTTCAGTAAAAATAGGTACGTATTCAAAATATTGATTACGACGTTCAATAAAGAGTTGATGGAAAATGCAGGGTGCAACATTGGTCTTACGGAACATCATAAATGGGGTAATAAAATGATCTACGGATTACGAAGACAATTCACAAATTTCAAATGAGTGAAAAAGTGCGAGTATGAAATGGGCAAGTCTGTGACGGTCTAGCAACATACAGTCGCTCTAGGCTTGATGAAATAACATCATACTTTAATGGATGAGATTTAGAGAACTTGATACGATAGTAATAAGTGAGAGACATCTGTATGCGATCTAGGTCTAATGGCAGTTGATGGCAAACAACATACAAACTTTCGACTGAGGATGTACGAAATGCGCCAAAACATATACGTAAAGCAGTATGGTGTACTGTGTCCAAGGCTCGTAGGTTAGAAGCAGTTGCAGTATCATAAACTGCACATGCATAATCGAGCCTCGATAGTATCAAGGCTTGATAAATGAGCAGTAAGGCTTGGCGAACCGCTCCCAAAACGTATTTGACAGCACACGTAACTTATTTAATTTCTGCTCACATCGTTTTCGTAATTGGTTACTTGCAAATGACGTCACATGGGTAAAATGAACCTGATTGGTTGGTCATTTTACCCATCCGATGATATTTGTTTACATTTTATGGCGTCCAAAGCAAACTTTGCCTAGGCTTAGTGCTTTTGATCATCAAAAAAATGAAGTCTATTAATGAAACACCAATGTATTTGATACATTTTACATTGATTAATATACTAACGTATATAGAAAAATTATGTTCAGCATTTGCTAGCAGTGTTAATTTTATACTGCTGAGCAAAAAAAAAGGTTTGATGATGTGCCAGGAAAAGTTCGTCTCCAATATAAAATTTGAAGAGGTATGTGTATTAAAATTATGCATTTCATTCTTGTTATACATTATTTAAAATCATTTAATCCCATTCTTGTTATTTTTTAGCTGAAGAATTTTATTTGAAGTATGTTTAGTAACACTAAGAACGATACTGTGAATGTTTAAAATGACGATATCGATTGTGAGAGTTTTGAAAAAAGACATGTAGAATAGTATTAAAACTTTCACTAAAAGATTTTAATTTATTTACAGGATGCCAATGGTTTTCATGTAGAAGCCAAGGTTAAGGCTGAAATGAGAAAAAATGAAACCTACAAAGTCGACATGAGGATTTCTGCTGGGAATGAGGTGGGGTCTTGGTTTTATTAAATTTTGTTTTAAATAATTATGTAACAATACAATTTTATTTTAAAATTTTTATCTCTAATAATGATCTTTGTAAAGGAATGGCTTCTTGGGAAATCTCCCCCAACAGATGCTTGCAAAATAGTATATATTCCTACCCACTTATGTTTTTATGGTTTCAGTTCATTATTATTTCACACAATGCATTGTCATTCTTGACCGTAAACTACATTAAATATAAATTTAATGTAAAAGTTTTATTCTCATATTAAGAGTTGTTATTCTTTGATCTTTTATTAAGAAGCGACTAGTAAGGTTACAATTTTTCTGATAATGTGTACTTCATATTAATTTTAGTATGCTTTAAGTAATCAGCTATATTATTAGTCATTTGTAAAAAGAAAATTGTGAAATTTACAAAAAGGAAATGCTAAAGTGTAGTAATTTAAGTTGTTAAAATTGAATTATTTTCTGTTGTTAAAAACATGAACAGCCATTCCGATCCTGGATGCTTTATGTATAAAAGTTATAATAACAAGATGGTTTCTTTAATGAAAATTATCATTTAATAGTTTTATAATTTTTATAGGTGTTAGATGCCTTTTGCCTTTGCAAAGCTGGGAGCCGCCCTTCATCATGCAAACATACTTTTGCTCTTTTATATTGTTTGGAGGAGTACAGTAAGCAGGAAATGTACTTGGCCCCAACGGAACGATTACAAGTTTGGCATAAACCCAAGGTCACAAAACTAAGTCCTAAAAAATGTTCAGATTTGTATAAAAAACCTAGGATTACGCATGATTCTGTTGAACCAGTTAACTATAGTGTTCTGTTTACTGGAAACAGAAACCTGCAATATTTGTCGGTCATGAAAGAATGTCACAATACAATGAGTATCTTACCATTGCCTGCAATTGTCCTCTCTGAAAGACCAACTTATGATTTTGTTACCCGAAATGTTTCGGAGCTATTGTTCGTAACAAAATTTTTAACTTTTGATTTAGATGTAATTTGGAATTTGGAGGCAGAAACTATTGAGCAAAGCAACTGCTTGAAATGGAAAGTTGAGCGAGCTTGCCGGTTGACTGCTTCCAATTTTCATAGAATTTGTAGCAGAAGGAGTAACTTTGATGTTTTAGCTTCACAAATATTTGATTCTCACTTTAAGAACCTGAGTTACATCCCTGCAATTAAATATGGAATTGAAAATGAATCAGTGGTTCGTAACTTTGTCAGGACAACTTATAACAAATTTGATGTGAGGAAAACTGGCTTAGTTACAAACCCATTCATGCCTTTTTTAGCAGCTTCACCTGATGGTTTGATTCACAATGATGATGATGCACTCCTACTTGAAGTGAAGTGCAAAGTGAATGCTGCTAATAAATCTTTAATTGATCTATGTTCCGAAGCTAGCTTTTGTCTTGAAAAGGATGACAATGGTGATATGAAATTAAAAAAAAACCATTCCTATTATTATCAGATTCAGGGCCAGCTAGCATTAACTAACATAGCTAAGTGTGTGTTTGCTTTGCATTACATGCAACCTAATCACATTTTTATGCAAACTATTGAGTTTGATGAAGTGTTTTGGTCCTCAATTTTTGATTCTTTTAGGAGTTTTTATTTTAATTTCTATCTGCCTCATATTGTTTTAAATGAAAATAAAATAGCTAGTTTATAATCAATATATTTCCGATTTTCACTTTTTAATTTAATTAACGATTCATTTTGCAGTATTCTTATTTTTAAAGGCTTAACTAAAGGATGTTTAAATTTGATTGTTAAATTTTTTTTTTTAAACTTTCTTTTTTGAAGGGCTTATAAATAACATATTCTAGCAAATTTTAGGTTTAATTTTTCATTGTTTCAATATCAATACATTGTTTGGATTTTTATAACAAATTAATTTTTACCTCAACTAAACTGTCGTTAGTTTGTTGTCAGTATACTTTTCTAAAACTGATTTGGAATTTATTTTGGAAGTATTGTATTTGGATTTTTTTATGTTTATTTTAAAAACATGTAGTTTATCAAAATATCTTTAAACTTGTGATAAACAAATCTGAACATTTTTTAACTTAAAATTACTGTATTAAAATCTATGCTTACTATATATTTCATTTTATAAAGTTGTAAAAAATTGTTTTCGCAATTTTGAGTGTCTCCATGTGACTGTGAAAATTTTTTAGAACATATATTGTATTTCTTTAAAAAATTATGAATAATTGTTGGTGTTTTTTGTAAAGTACAGTTAAAATTTTTTTCAAGTATTACTGTTATATTGAAAACTCCCAAACTGTCCTATTTTTAAAAAATATGTTTCAGAGTACTTCATCATATTTAATTTTGATCTAAAGTTACCATAAATAATTGTATCAGAATTGACCTGAATTTGCATTTTAATTGTTTTTCTTTTTCTTTGCAACATGCAGAATTAAAACTAATTTTGCACTATTTTTTTATTTTTAAAGGCCAAATGAAATGATGTTGGAATTTGATTATTAAATTTTTTTTATAAACTTTCTTTTTTGAAGGGAGTATAAATGACATATTCTAGCAAATTTTAGGTTTAATTTTTCATTATTTCAATATCAATACATTGTTTGGATTTTAATAGCAAATTAATTTTTACCTCAACTAAACTGTTGTTAGTTTGTTGTCAGTATACTTTTCTAAAACTGATTTGGAATTTATTTTGGAAGTATTGTATTTGGATTTTTTTTATGTTTATTTTAAAAACATGTAGTTTATCAAAATATCTTTAAACTTGTGATAAACAAATCTGAACATTTTTTAACTTAAAATTACTGTATTAAAATCTATGCTTACTATATATTTCATTTTATAAAGTTGTAAAAAATTGTTTTCGCAATTTTGAGTGTCTCCATGTGACTGTGANCTTTAATAAAAATTATCATTTAATAGTTGTATAATTTTTATAGGTGTTAGATGCCTTTGCAAAGCTGGGAGCCGCCCTTCATCGTGCAAGCATTCTTTTGCTCTATTATACTATTTGGAGGAGTACAGTAAACAGGAAATGTACTTGGCCCCAACGGAACGACTACAAGTTTGGCATAAACCTAAGGTAACAAAACTAAGTCCTAAAAAATTTTCAGATTTGTATAAAAAAAACTAGAATTACGCATGATTCTGCTGAAACAGTTAACTATAGTGTTCTGTTTACTGGAAACAGAAACCTGCAATATTTGTCGGTCATGAAAGAATGTCACAATAAAACGAGTATCTTACCATTGCCTGCAATTGTCCTCTATGAAAGACCAACTTATGACTTTGTAACCCAAAATGTTTCGGAGCTATTGTTTGTAACAAAATTTTTAACTTTTGATTTGGATGTAATTTGGAGGCAGAAACTATTGAGCAAAGCAACTGCTTGAAATGGAAAGTTGAGCGAGCTTGCCGGTTGACTGCTTCCAATTTTCACAGAATTCGTAGCAGAAGGAGTAACTTTGATGTTTTAGCTTCACAAATATTTGATTCTCACTTTAAGAACCTGAGTTACATCCCTGCAATTAAATATGGAATTGAAAATGAATCAGTAATTCGTAACTTTGTTAGGACAACTTATAACAAATTTGATGTTAGGAAAACTGGCTTAGTTACAAACCCATTTATGCCTTTTTTAGCAGCTTCACCTGATGGTTTGATTCACAATGATGATGATGCACTCCTACTTGAAGTGAAGTGCAAAGTGAATGCTGCTTATAAATCCTTAATCGATCTATGTTCCGATGCTAGTTTTGTCTTGAAAAGGATGACAATGGTGATATGAGGTTAAAAAAAAACCATTCCTATTATTATCAGATTCAGGGCCAGCTAGCAATAACTAACATAGCTAAGTGTGTGTTTGCTTTGCATTACATGCAACCTAATCATATTTTTATGCGAACTATTGAGTTTGATGAAGTGTTTTGGTCCTCAATTTTTGATTCTCTTAGGAATTTTTATTTTAATTTCTATCTGCCTCATATTGTTTTAAATGAAAATAAAATAGCTAGTTTATAATCAATATATTTCCGATACTAACGATAAATACGAACGATAGTGACCTCAGCCTATTGAAAATTTCGAATATGAATGGAAATTAAAAAACTTCTTGAAACATTATAGGGAGATATGCGAAGAAGAATTTTGGCCATTGAAATCTTTTCCTTTGAAACTTGTCCATTAGTTAGAGCCACGACAGTTTAGGAAGTTATCAGAAGAGGAAATTTTTGAAACTTGCAGTGTCGCAATTTCTGTTAAAATTGACAATGGTCATAGTATAACAGCTATGCCTGAAAGCACCTATCTTTTAGATAGCAAGGATTCTCTCTATCTTCGAAGGCTATTGTCACAGTGTCGTGTTACGATTTTTTTTATGTCAGGAATTTAAATTTAATTTGATCATATCTTTCATAGTTAATAGTATTTGTACTTTTCCTGCTTTATTTTCTCTTCATTTTTTTTCTGTGAAGAGAATTGGTAATGTTTCTTTTACTTTTACGTTAGCAACGCATTTTTTTGTGTCTTTCTCTTTTTTTTCACCTTTTGCAATTCAAGGTCGTCTGACCCCACTGTCCTTCAAGGACGACATTCTTTTCCCTCACTTTCTAAATTTACGTCACCACTTAACTTCTTTTCCCATCACTTTCAAGTAACCCTCAATGTTGCACGTGGTGATTCTTCCAGTCGGTTTTTCTAGAATTTTTGGGGAGTTCACGCCTTTTTTTGGGGACTTCTTCCCTTTGACTCCTTATTTGGTATGTGTGGGAGTACTAATTTGCACTGATTGGTGGTGACCTAATCGTGTGGTAATCCCCCCATCCAATGACAGTCGTTCTCTCTCCTGCTTTTCAACTCGCACTTTCCCGCGCTTAAGGGACGCCATTATTATTATTTTTTTTTGGTACTGTAAAGTACACCTCTCCTAGAGTGTTGCTTCTGCTTTGGTCTCGGCTGGTGAGCTGGCCTAGGTCAGCGAGCTATGCCGAACCCCCTGTAATGTTAATCTTTTTTTTTTTTAGCAAGTGCTGCCATTTTTTTTGTGATTCCTTGGCTATATATATGTTTTTTTCTTTTTGCGATGCCTAAATGTATTTTTTTATGTGTGACGGACCACCCATCCCATTCCAAAACTGATACTGTTGTAAGATAATGAACAATTAAAAATGAACTTGTGAGCGAGTTCTGCGTTGTATTTTCTTTTGGTTTTCATCACTTCAAAATGTCCGATGTTAGACCTGTCTCCATGATGTAAATAATATGTGGTGAGTAACATTCTCTTGTCCCTTTTTCTGACCAGTGTTTATTTGCACAAACGTAAAATTTTATAGATGTTATTCAGTCGTCCCTTAACTTTATCTTGACCACGAGCCCTTGCTGTTGGGTTAATTCACGTGGCACTTAAGCAATATGTCCTTCCACTATTTTCGATCACTTTTGGCCTTTTCTTTCCATCAATTAATGATGATCCAAATTTATTATCAAAATTTAATATTTAATTAATCTCTCATTTTTCTTTGATTGTCTTAAACTTTATCGACTGAATACCTCTATCAAATTTTACAGCCCATTCCTTTGTATAATACATTTTAATGGTAACATCACCTTTTTTTTAAGATGTTTATTATTGGTACATATCTCAATTTAATTTATAATCAATTTTACATTGGTACATATGAGATTCCTTTATAAATAAATTTACTTTGGTACATATGACCTCCTAATTTATAATTAATTGATTAGGGTACATATAAGACCCAACCACCTTTTCTTTAAAATATTTCTTTGGTACAGCTATTTACAAGAGAGTACTAATAATTTGTACGAGCTTGGGGCTTGCATATATGCTAATACAGAACTTCTCTCGTATCTTATGCACTTTCACATTTTTTGGCCATGACTTGACCACCGTATCAAACACAGATCCTGATATGCAAATGACGCACGAAAGGTATAGCAATATTTTTATAGGTTTAAAAAGTCATGACTTAACATAGTGACATAACTTTGAAATCGGGGCAAATACTCTCATGGCTTATCGGTGCTTGCCATTGGTAAATTAATAAAGAAAAAATAATAATGAGAGAAATCGTATAAAAAAAACTACTTAGCATCGCAGTTAGAACCGAAATATGTTGAAAATGTTTGGGATATTGTAACAAGCAATTCCGCTACGAAATATTCAGAATTCAAAACAAGGCTTCTAGATTTATTTAAAGAAAGTGAAAGTGCTCGGATAAACAACTTATAACTGGAATTGAGTTGGGTAACCTGAAACCAAGTCAATCGTAACAAATTTTCAGGATCCTGGCTGTTTTGAACTGGATCTTGCAATATGCGAACCTTACATGTTATAGTTTTGAGTTAAAGTTCATCTGAAATGGCGAAATTGGGTAACGCGAAAACATAATCAATAGTATAAAGAAGCTTATTCTGAGACATGGCCTATTCTAAAAAAATCCTTTAAATCACGTATTTTGCCAAGCATGTGATTTGATCACATGATGATTGCCGGTGACACATGGAGTCCCGTCGACATATTGATAAATGCAAAGCTAAAGAGTCAAATCGGGATATACTGTCGCTGTAGGTTAAGCGAGAGAACTTAAGTGTAATTGAAGCTGAAGCATTATTTACGAGCTTTATAATAGAGCACAATTGCCTTACTGCAGTATCAGACCATGCGGGGCCGATGTTTCGAAAAATGT